GTTCTTTTAGAGGCTCATAGACAGGTGTCGGCTCATGTATAGTTTGGTATGCCTTGTCGGCTAGTTTTTGTTGTATAGTCTTTCATAGTAGCGTGGTAGCTCATACCTTATATTTAGTTTCTTGATTGTCTAGTCATCCCCTGCTTTGTATATTCATGCCGTCATATTTTATTGTTGGTTGTCCATGATCCAGGTCTACCATTTATATTGATCTCGTCAGCCCTAAAAGATAATAATGAAGGTTAGATGAAATGTACGTTGGTGCTCGACAAGTGTGGTCGGGTGCTAGTCATGGCCCTCCAGTTTGGGTCGTGACAATAAATCTCTCAACTTTCCTTCAGCCAAGTACTTCAAATTATATCCGAATTAATTTCACATTTAACTTCATATCTAAATTCTGGAATCAAAATGCACAACTCTATAGTAAACTTGAATATAATACCAAGATGCACATCAAACAAGGATTACAACTATCATTAAAATTGACATGAATCAAGTCAGCTCAATAAAATCGGTAGCTTATAGCCCGAATTTAATAAGACATGGCCAAACAACAACAACAACAACAACCCAGTGAAATCCCATTAGTGGGGTCTGGGGAGGGTAGTATGTATGCAGACCTTACCCCTATCCGAAGGGGTAGAGATGCTATTTCCGAATGACCTTCGGCTCAAGAAGACAAAAAGACAAAAGGAGACAATATCAGTATTATCACAGAAATCATAAGAAAATATAAGAAAAATAGGAACAACATAAAATCTAGAAGAAAGTTGCAAAACAAAAGCGATAACTAGTAAATAGGACCGACACTAAAAAAGTTATAGAAAGACACGACATTGCCACCCGTTACCTAGACAAAACCCTACAAGACTACTCTAGCAACGGAACGAACTAATGCAAGACCCAACTACCTCCTAAACTATAACCCTAATACTCGACCTCCACATCTTCCTATCAAGTGTCATGTCCTCGAAAATCTGAAGCCTCGCCATGTCCTGCCTGATCACCTCTCTCCAATACTTCTTAGGCCGCCCTCTACCCCTTCTCATGCCCTCCACAACTAGCCGGTCACGCCTCCTTATCGGAGCATCTGGGCTTCTCCTCTGTATATGCCCAAACCATTTGAGCCTCGCTTCCCGCATCTTGTCATCAATGAGAGCCACGCGCACCTTCTCCCGAATATCATCATTCCTAATCTTGTCCATCCTAGTTTGCCCGTACATCCACCTCAATATCCTCATTTCAGCTACTTTCATCTTCTGGATATATGAGTTTTAACAGTCCAACACTCAGCCCCGTATATCATGGCCGGTCTAACTACCGCTTTATAAAGCTTACCTTTGAGTATCGGTAGCACTCGCTTGTCATACAGGACTCCAGATGCTAACCTCCAGTTCATCCATCCTACCCTAATACGGTGTGTGACATCCTCGTCGATCTTCCCTCCCCCCTGGATAACCGACCCAAAGTACTTGAAGCTGCATCTACTAGGTATGACCTGTGAGTCAAGCCTCACTCCACGCCCACTTCCCCCGGCTCAGCGCTGAACTTACACTCCAGGTATTCCGTCTTCGTCCTGCTCAGCTTGAAACCCTTAGACTCAAGAGCATGTCTCCAAACCTCTAGCTTCTTGTTAACACCGGTACACGACTCATCAATCAGAACTATGTCATCGGTGAATAACATGCACTATGGCACCTCCCCTTGAATATGGCGTGTCAGCGCGTCCATCACCAGGGCGAATAAGAACGGACTAAGCGATGAGCCTTGGTGTAATTAACAATCAAAAAATTCTTAGAGTCGCCTCCTATTGTCCTAACCCGAGTCTTAGCCCCATCATACATGTCTTTAATCGCTATAATGTAGGGAACCGACACACCTTTAACCTCCAAGCATCTCCAAAGAACTTCCTTAGGTCTCTAAGTGAATAAACACCATGTGCTGGTCCTTCTTCCTATCTCTGTACTGTTCCACCAACCGCCTAACAAGGTATATAACTTCTGTAGTAGAATGACCCGGCATAAACTCGAAATGGTTTTCGGATACAGACACCGACATCCTCACCCTCGCTTCAACTACCCTCTCACACAATTTTATGGTGTGACTAAGTAATTTGATACCCCTATAATTATTACAACTCTAGATATCACCTTTGTTCTTATACAGTGGAACCATCGTACTCCACCTCCACTCATCTAGCATCCTCTTTGCCTTAAAATAACATTGAACGACCCAGTCAACCACTCCAGTCCTGCTCTCCCCACACACTTCAAAATTTTCACCGGTATCTCATCGCCTGATCGCTCTGCCCCTACTCATCTTACTCATAGCTCTCACTACCTCCTCAACCTTGATACGCCTGCAGTACCCAAAATTACGATGACTCTCGGAATGCTCCAATTCACCTAGCACAATATCCCGATCTCCTTCTTCATTCAGAAGTTTATGAAAGTAAGTTTGCCATCTCCTCTTAATCTGGGAATCTTCCACAATACTGTATCATCGTCATCCTTGATGCATCTCACTTGGTCTAAATCACGAGCCTTCCTCTATATCAACTTGGCCAGCCGGAACAACTTCTTCTCCCCACCTTTCTCCCCCAATTCCTCATACATACGACCATAAGCCGCAGTCTTAGCTTCCTTGACCGCCAACTTAACTTCCTTTCTAGCTACCTTATACCTCTTCATGCTAACTCGCCTCTCATCCTCACTTTTGTTCCCCACTAACTTTAGGTACGCCGCCTTCTTCACTTCCACCTTACCTTTGACCACTTTATTCCACCACCAGTCTCTTTTGTGGCTGCCAAAGGCACCTATCGAGACCTAACACCTCTCTCGCAGCCTCCCTTATACAATTTGTTGTCATAGACCACATAGCGCTAGTGTTACCACTGCTCCTCCAAGCTCTGATTGCCGACAATCACCCTTCCAACTCTTGGGATTTATCCTTAGTCAAGGCTCCCCACCTGATTCTCGGTCTTCCTCAAGCATACCTTTTCCTCCTCTTTAACCTAATACCAATATCCATCACCAACAGTCTATGTTGCATCGTGACTATCTCATCTGGAATCACCTTGCAATCCTTGCATAACCCTCTGTCACACTTCTTGAGGAGGAGATAGTCAATCTGAGTCTTTGCCACCGCATTTTGAAAAGTGATCGAATGCTCCTCCCTCTTCGAAAAGGTAGAGTTCGCAATCACCAACCCAAAAGCCTTAGCGAAGTCCAATAACGAGGTACCTCCTCCGTTCCTCTCCCCAAAACTGAAGCCTCCATGTACCTCCCCATAACCACCTGTGGTCGACCCAATATGACCATTGAAATCCCCTCCAATGAATAGCTTCTCAGCGGGCGGAACCTGGCGCACAATCTCATCTAACCCCTCCCAGAAATGTCGTTTAGCCTCTTCATCTAAGCCTGAATACGGCGCATAGGCGCTAACAATGTTTAGAGTGCAGTCTCCAACCACCAATTTAATAATCATCAATCTATCATTCACTCGTCTAACCTCAACCATAGACTCTCTAAGTTCCCTATCCACCAAGATATCCACTCCATTCTTATCCCTCTCGACTCCTGAGTACCAAAGTTTATACCCGTCCGCGTCCCTCGCTCTCGACCCTACCCACCTTGTTTCTTGGACACACGCTTTATTGACCCTTCTCTTCTGGAGGATCTTCGCCAACTCTATAGACTTTCCCGTCAATGTACCTACATTCTATGACTCAACTCTCAAACAATGGATATCCTTGTACCCTTTACCTCCCGACCTACCCCCTAACCCCTGCCCTACCTCCCGCCCTACCCTTGCTCCCCCCGAGGACATGACCTCACTCGACCATCCCAGATCACAACCAATATATCTACATCAGACTAAGGGGAATCACTAACACCTACAAGGCAATAGACCAAATTAGAAGAAGACAAGTTGCAACTACATGGACACTAATACGATGAGTAAGATAATATGGGCTAAGACAAAGTATAAACTAAAGACTAAATTAAAGTATAAATTAAAGACTCGGGATCTGCAAGATATGTGAAACTAAATATCCTGGACCCTCCGAATATAGCTGGGAGCAAATACACAGGGTCTAAACAATACAGATGAAATCAAATAATTACTGATGTAAAAAAATAAACCGCGGCTATAACACAATACCATTATAGAACACACTACTAACAATGAAACAAATTTAAACAAAGTGTGTTTAAGACAAAGTGCAATGAGATAGGAACGTAGAACTTGGTACCCATCGACGGAGACGGTGGTGGTCGTCGAAGAACTGGCCGAAGTTGTTGGGTAATGAGTTACTTGGCTTGAGGATGGGTCTGGTTTGTGTGTCACCACGGCATCTCAACCAGGCCTGAAGCCTGACTGTGGTTGTTCCCACTCGTCGGCGACTGGTCTGTGTCTCACCGGAGTAAGAGGGGGAGAAGACAGGACGAAAAAGAGGAGAGGCGGGGTGAGAGAGATGGGAGGAGAGAAGGAGGAGAGGTGTTGGATGATTGGGAGGAGAGAGGAGTGAGGGAACTTACCTGGGTGGAGGGTGGTCGCCGGCGAGTGAACTACTTGCTAGTTTGATCCCGTTTTATTGTATTACCATTACTGGCAGTGAGCGTGGAGAGAGAGAAAAGTCAGAGAGCGTTTTCAATGATGTAATCACAAAAATTTTACCATTTCTAAGACATGACCATAAACTTTAATAAATTCATAAGAGTATTTATTTTTTAACATATTTGGCTGGTTTTTAGATGATAGGTTATTTCTTGTAGTTCAAGTAACTATACTGTTGATTTTCATTTTACTTCACCTTATTGTTTGTGACATTAATATTGTCGCTCAAATATGTTACCCCAGGTTCTTGTTCTTTCTTATTTCTTGGTGGAGCAATGCACATATAGGAAACCAATATTGGAGATAACCAAACAAAAATCAAAATCATATGATCGCAAACCTTAACAAAATACCTCAAATATTAGAGATACCCTTATAGAATGAGAACAAATACAATTGCAGTTAATGTACTTTATGGAGATTTTAGAACAAGAAATTACACTCAATGACCTTAAAAATGGTTGATCTTGATTTTTTGGCCGCAACTTGTCCCATGGACAAACATTTAAGGTTAAAAGTCAAAAGTGTTACCTATGGAACACGCGAGGGAACACTTATTAAACTTAAAGTACTATCCATGAGATAAATAACGGGGTAAAAATATTGATGGTAAATGTTTTGTACATTGTGATGGTCTCTGGCCCCTTTTACGTATTTTCTCCCAACATTGTTGATGCTTTATAATATCATTTGATTTGTAATAAATATCACCGATAATGGGTTTAGTTTTTATGTGCGTTGCCCTACCAAAAATTTAAAGAAGACAATAATATCAGAAATTAAAAGGTAGAGCAAACTAAATTTCATTAGTATAATTACTTAAATTACAAGTATAAAATAGAGATATATAATGAACAAGAGGGGAAAAAATTAGAGAGAAAAAGAATGGCATGGATATGTGTTTGTGTATATGCATGACACCTAAAACAGCAGCCGTATTCTTTAGCTCCATCATCCCTATATTCAAGAAATAGTCAGTCTCCGTTAAAGCAAATTCAAATTACTACTAACATTTATTAAAAAAGGAATTAAGATTAACCAATATTTGGCTGATCAACATTAATTAGCTTCAGTATTATGCATTACCTTCTTTAGCCTGAAAACCAAGAAAAGATATACGTATAAAGGGCAAGAAACTGCATTAATCCCAAATGGAGAGGAAAAACAAGTTAATGTCGAAAATACGTATCAAGTCACAGATTTTGTTTCTGTTCGTCTTCCATTATCACAGCAATGCCTTACTATATAAATCGGATTAAAGAACAAAAAATGCAGAAAAGAATGAAAGAATTGAAAAATGTTCGTTTTGGAAAGTAAATATTTAGGAAACAAGTTAACTAGTTCAAGAAACTAGGTTACCTTAAATTAAATAGGGTTAGTATTTTCTTACCTCCAAAAGTTTCCATATTTGATCTATAACTGACTTTGTTTGTTTAANTATATATATCACGATGCACCGAGAAAGTTTTGCTTTCATACGCATAGCTTAGGGCTTTCTTATGCACAACTTATATATATATATACGCATAGTTTTGCTTTAGTAAACATGATGCTTTCTTCTCAGCCAATGTTTGTCGTTTCCACAAATATATGGCTTGCTGCCGGAAGAGAACATCTCTCAAGTTTCTGATTTTGATGATATGCTGTTGGACAAAGATGACAAACAACTCCGAGCAAAGATGTTGAAGAATTGTTTCGCTAACATAATCTTCAAGTCCGAACAACAATTACTCGGTAAAGAGTTTGACGAACAACAACTGATGAAGCAAAAAGTGCAGTTGCGTGAAGAGATCAAGAAAGCCGAGTTGAAAAGAGAAAGAGAAGCTGCTCGTATTGCCATTGAAAGTATAAGAAGAACATTTTGACTACGGTTTGAATGCAGAAAGAGAGCTTTTGATGGCCTCAATTTATACTTCTATAGATTTTCTTTTCTTCTTATACTTCCATAGATTTACGGTAGTTAGCCAAGAAGAAAAACCAAAGGCAAAGAATTGATGATATTTGTGTACTAAAGAATTACTAAACATGTTTCAATTTTCGTTATGTTGATTCTAACATATGTGTATTTTTCATTTGTCCACAAATGTGCGTGTTGAACTGCCAGTAGCTTATAAATGGCTATCATGTTATTTTTTGTTGTGTGTTTCTTGCATCAACTTGAACAACCGCTTGTGTAATACAAAATTTGTCAGCCTAGCTATTTTCAGTGCTGGTCATGGCCAAAATAAAACTGAGATTGAGAAGATATATTATCTGAATATGTAACTTTTCTGGATTTCCCTTTCTATATATGATAAAAGAAAAATAAAATCAGCTCTTGGGGAACAAAGAACATAATATGTCAGAAGTACAAAAACAAATATAAAAAAGGTCAACATATATAGTAGATGGATATATATTGCATTGTGGCGTAACCTCAAGTCTTGCCTCTCCAAAAATAACGTGAAGAGATCGGAGGATGGAGCAACTATAAGACGAGTACGATGAATGGGATAAAGTGGAGATCGAACAAGAAATTGGATAATGATTCAGTTAAAAAAGAAGGCAAATTTTCCTGTTGCAACCTAAAGATGTCCTTTGTTTTTGTCTCTTTGTGACACGGTCCCCATATTATAGAAAAGAGATAGACCCTACATGATTAAATCTAGACAGAACGTACATTGGTCATATTAAGCCTAGATTTGATTTCATCTGAACGTGCTTCAATTCGTAGAATGATACGTTATGCATACCCGTCTATTTAATTTGTTTCTAAATCACTTAACATTACTGTAGAAGACAGTTACCTAAAATGAAATCAAATTGGACCTTCGAAAAGTAAAACACACAGGGGGAAATTAAGAAGCAGCACTTATCCATTTGCAGAATAACACTTCCAAAAAACTTCCTCTCTTTTTGCTAAGTCGAGATATATGATATGAGAAGACTTGTTGCCTTTTCATTTATCAGGAAGAACAACATGACTTGTCTATATAAAAAACTTAGTTACAATATGGACTAACAACTGCTCAAACTTGCTTTTCTATGTACATCAGGTGGAACTGTTTAACACCCCCTCCCCCAATCTGTATCTCAAGAGTATGATGAAGCCCAAATGCACAATTTTATCAGCATAAAGGCCTTCTATGCGGAGAGAGGCTGTATGTCAAAAGAAGTCTCTGTTCCTCCTTCAAAGCAAGAATTTGGTCTCCCAAATCAAGAGCAAAACAGTTGCCAAACAATAGATAGTGTTAGTGTACAGCTGCTCCCGCAGTTTTGGATAGAATTGCTACACTCAAGTCCTTTCTGCTTAAATCGTTTCAGGCATTGGCCTGGCTGGTATAGATAAGGGTACAGTGAATTCCTTGGTAAAACTGCATGCAGATCACCATGTTCTGCAAACCTGAAGCCTGTTTCCAGTTTTACCCTCCTCAATCTTTTCGCCTTAAAGGGCTGCCTGTGTTTGTGGGGACAGAAGCTTCTCTTTCTTCTTTGCAATCTTTCTCCCAAGAATCTTGACATGGAAGTTTCTCGTACAAAACAGCACACGGAGAGCCAGGCCTGAGAGTGTCGACATTCTTGCTGCAGCTGAAGGTGATGACCAATACCACCATTCATTTCTCAAATAATACTCAGTTTTGATGGCATCCTCTAGAATTATAAACCATCTCAAGGACATAAACGAGCAATCTTAAGTATGAGATTTTTCGGACCAAAAAGAAGAAAACACAGAAATTCAACAAAGAAATTATTATGTGATTTAGCACAAGAAATAATATATTCTGTTTATATCTAGGAACACAACTTTTCTTCTTCCTTTCTTATTTGATAATCAAGAAATCTACAGCTTCCAGCTCCGGAATACGGTTTATAATGCTCCCTCTCTA